TCTCTCTCTCTCCCTCTCTCTCTCTAGCTCTCTCTCTCTCTCTCTAGCTCTCTCCCTAGTGTCTCTATTATATTATGTACCTCTAAAGCTCGTTTTTGGGCACGGAGTACAGCCACATCATATACAAGTCTTGCTTCTTCCTCTCTTCTTTGCTTCTCCGTCTTCATGTTTCTGGGGCTGGTGACTTTGGTTTTAATATTCTGGATAGGTATTGGAAAGATGATACATTTTTCATGTTAAAACTTTTATAATTGGCTGATATATTGAATGCGAGGAGGGTTAAAAATTATAATATTGAGAAAGGATAGTGTTTTTAACAGAGTATTACAGCAATCCAGGTTGTTAAGTGCGCTTTGAACGGCAAGTATTTTATGAAAATATGATGCACCAACAGCAAAATACAAGAAAAAACCCTATATCCCTCTCTCTCTCTTCTCGACTTCCCCTCCCACCTTCTCTCCTTCTCAGAGCACATCTCCTTTCCCTTCCACCTTCTCTCATTCTCTCCCATTATCTCTTCTTCTCAGACTACATCCCTTACCCTCCCACCTTCTCTCCTTCTCAAATCACATCTCTTTCTTCTCTCCCACCTTCTCTCCTTCTCTGCCCCTTTCTCCCCTCTCTCCCCCCACCTTCTCCCCTTCTCTCCACTTTCTCTCTTTCCCTCCCATTTTCTCTTTTTCTCAGACTACATCTCCTACCCTCCCACCTTCTTTCCTTCTCAAATCACTTCTCTTTCTTCCCTCCCACCTTCTCTCCTTCTCTCCCACCTTCTCTCCTCCTCTTCCGTCTTCTCTCCTTCACTCCCTTTTTCTCTCAATCCCCCTCCCCCTCCTCCCTCAACCTTCTCATCCTCCCTCCCACCTTCTCTCCTTCTCAAACCACATCTCTTTCTGCCCGCCCACCAAGCGGTCTATAATTACGCCGATCACACCCCGGGAGATCATGGGAGGGGGGGGGGGGGGGGGACAGAGAGAGAAGGGGGGGGGGGAGATCATTACAGAAATGACCGCTGTCCACTCTGTCCACTCTACCTCTCACCTGAATAGGTCGCTGGGGTCAAGATGCGATCACCAGAGAGGGGCTGAGGCCAGTATTGTTGTGGTTGCTTATTAAGAGAAGGCGAGGTATCGCTTGGAAGGCAAGGGGAGCATGGATAGAAAGAAAGGTGAAGGGATGTCTATCCGCCAATAACGGACTGTACATGTTTTTGTGTGTCCCCCCTCCCCACCACATACACACATACACACACAAACACACACACACACACACACACA